GTCACTCTTTGAAAAGGTTTATTTTTATTTTTATTTTTATTTTTTTTATTTTTTGGTTTTTACAAACCAAAACTACAACAAAGCCGGGGCTGAACTGTTGAGTTGCAATCTAAAGCAACAAGTGAAAAAAATACTTCACTTTCAAAACTACATCAGTCAGTCTCTTCAGTTCCCAAAAATGTACAAAGTTGTGTCAAAATAAGAACTGACGCAGCACAGTGGTAAACAGGCACTGTGTCCCAATTTTTTGTTTTGTTTTGTTTTGTTTTGTTTTTGGATTTTCTTCAATTAAATATGTGGTTTTTTATATATAATATATCAATTTGTAAGAGATGTTTACTTTACATTTTGCTGTGTAAAATGGAGATTGTGTATAGTTTCTGTGTAAAATCATGAGTCACCCTCCTTTTGTGATCTATTTAGTGAACATAGACATGCAGCTCAGATGGGGTTCATGTGACACAGTGTGCCTGAACAGAACTCTGTCATGGCAACTTCACTCACATTCTCCATGAAAGAATAGTTCTCTCTCTCTTTTCTTTCATTTTTTTTCCTTTTTAACTTAAAAGTTCAGTTACCGCCGACTTTTCATTTAAGGAGAGCAGTAGTCGTCACCATCTGACTGCATGTTTGTGTACGCGGTGCAGCACAGAAACAACACAGAGTGGGAGGTGTGCTTTTCAAAAATAATTCTGTCAATAAGTCAGACTGCATTTATCAAGCATGATGTATTATTCCACGCTGTGAACCAGAAGGTAGAAGTGAAATCAAATGATGAATGTCTGGAGGGTGGGGGGAACATGGGTTTTGTAGGATCTAGCCTTTAGCCTTTTGACTGCTCCATCTTGTAAGATTTGCTATTTTCATTTTTCATATTTATGACTCGGAACAATTTGATGTATTTGAGATTATATTAAATCTGACAAGATGTGTGCAGCAACATTGCACACGTTGTAAAAGTAGGTATAAATATTTGTGYTGTGTGTACAGGGTGACCTTTAACTGCACAAGTTAGCTTTTGTTTTGTCGAGTGTGTGGTACGTTCAAGATTTGAGCAGCATGACCAAGAAGGTCGAACTCCCAGACTTGTTTTCATTTTTGCTTCTGCTAAACTGAAACAGTTTTTTTTCCCCCAGGTTTCTTTTTAATTCTCTCCGAGTCCAAATGAGTCGCATTCAGCTTTACGTCACATGAAGTATTTATTTTTCACCCTAGGGGGAATAAAAGAAGGTCCCACCTGACCAAAACCTTTAAATTACACAAATATAGCAAGCATATAGACAGGAAACAAGGGGGGRAAAGAGTTTCCATGAACTGGATTATTGAGCTTTGTTGTACGGTTGTTTAACATCCTCTACAAAAAAAAAAAAAAGAGCCAGTGGACTGCTTGGCCTGTGGCACCTGAGTTTGACATTAATCTAACCATGGCCTTTTTCATAGGAGTGAAGTGGGGAAATCGATAGATGGACCACCTGTTCGCTCAAACGGCGTGATGAAAAATGAAACTGTGATTTTTTTTTCCTGCCTTCGAGGTACCATGGGGAGATCTTTTCCTATAATACATTAGGATGTCACCAAGGTTAGATTAATTATACATGGATTACAAATCCTACCTTGGACGGGTGGGTGTACGTTCGCACACCCAGCATGAGGCCATATGGATAAACGTTACTGTCAGCGTACAGTGAGAATGATAAAAGCTTCAGTGGCGCTGAAAGCTTGTTGTGTAACTAAAAGTTGGGTAAGAAACATAAGGAGAGCGTTGGCTGAGTCGAGTTGATCTCTTGACCTGCGCGGAGCCTAAGAGCTGAATCCACTGCGCTATAAGAAACTTGTACAAAGAAGAAAATAGACGTCAAATTTACAGTTTATTTAGAAACACTTACAGTACACATATTTATGAAGTAATATGGAGAGAGCAACCACGGCAACTWTTTTTTTTTCTACCAGCACAAACCTGTGCTAGCATTGGTTTTTAAAAAAGAGTAATAAATTTGCTTTTCTGTGATATGATCTAACATCTCTGCTTGTGTTTTTTTTTCCCTTGGTCCTGGATCAACATTCAGCTGTCTTGGGAAATCATGCCAAACCTGACTTTGTTTTTCATCTTTCTTGTTTAAATGAAACATGGGAATGAAGAGTGCATTTAAGCTTTTGTTTTCACTCTCACTTTGTGCTGAAAATGAAGGGGGAGGGGACAGTATAAAATAAACTTGGAGTCATTTCGAAGATGTGGACAGCAATTCCCTCTGCTTTGCAGACAGCTTAAAGATTCCTCAGACCACCTGCCTGTTCTTTTTTAAATCAACAACTTTATCTGTGGATGCTGTATCATCCCCCCCACCCCACAAGGAGACCGTCGTCATATCTCTGCAAACATACATTAAGAAAATGTGTAATCAAGTGGTTCAGGTTGCTTTATTGACTTCTATGAAAAGGGTGTAATTGAAAATCCCATTTTCCAATATGTGCTGTTAACAAGAACAGGTCACATGAGCTAATCTCGGTGAGTAAATGAAGCCTGGGTGGGGGGGTCCTTAATGGGGTAATGTAGTTAATAACATCTGAAGGGTGATGAATGGCCAGGCCTCTTTCTTGCYGAGTTCTCAGACAACAAATTAGTTCCATTAAAGGCCGCAGTATAAGGAACTCTGAAGGAAGCTGATTAACTTAAATTGTTTGGATTGAGTCGTTCTGAACTTGGTTTAGGCCCTGTGGTTTGCACAAATGGACTTATCCTTGATTACATGCTTATTTACCTATTTGTTTAGTTTCTGTTGTCAGCACAGCCAGGTGCGGCTTTTGTGGGCCTTGTGATTTGTCTTTAAAAATTAAAAAGGAGCAGTCTTAGATTAAATCAACATCCAGGACTTTCCAGGACTTTTTGTTATTATTATTATTATTATTATTATTATTATTATTGCCAATTAGCTTCAGTCACTGTCATGAAAGGAATTTCTTTCAGTTTACTGAGGTCTGACAGCAAGATGACAGACAGCTCTGATGGCTACTATTAGAAGCTGATTTTGATCAGCACTATCATAATATGTCTGCTTTGAAATAAAAGAAATTAGATTTTACTCCTTTTTTTACTGAAAGCTAGAGGCATGACAGGTATATGATATATTCTGTGTATGATGTGTTTCAAATTATATTCAAACATCCCAGCTTTGTTGTGAAATCAGAAGCGGTGTTGTGGGTGATTTAAGGTAATTGGAAGCCATGATTAGAGGCATACCATTCTGTTAGATCTTTCCACAGGGAGGAACAAAAAAGAAGAAGAACGTTCCCCTCAGTTTTTCCCCCCCTCTGCTCGTTACAGTATCATCTGTGAGGATGGTCGCCCTAAGGAACAGGGTGCCGTATTTCTTTGGCACCCTCTAGGAGTGGCAGCACACAAAAAAGACTGACACAGATTATGAGAGATTTATAGGAGTGATAAATACACCCTTTTTTCTGCCCCTCAAAACGGCTTTTCATCAGCTTCTCAGCAGTGCRTCCAAGTGATTGATGACAGCGCTGTTCGGTTCTCCTTGTCCACTCCTCAAGCTGTTTTTATGCTCTGTTTCCCGTCCCAGATGCAGATCTACCTTTACAACTCCGATGACTTTGACAGCCTCAGCGCTGCCATCAAGGAGAGACGCATCATCGCTGCCATGGCTGTCTTCTTTGAGGTAAAGTATCAGAACTAAAGGTCAAGGCTTATCTAAAGACATCTGAGAATACACAGCACCCACTGGTATGTTGGTCCAAACTTCTTAAAGGAATAGTTATGATTGAAATAATTCTGTGACTTGGGCGTCAGTGGTTAATACCTTATCTGTAGTAGACAGAGTTTGTAGAAACGGGTATAAATTTTCACACAGGAGTCAGACTGACAGCTAGCCGAGCTGTTTTTTTTAAAGCAGATTTCAGCCAAAAAAATGATACTAGTACAAGGAATTTATGTTACCCAATTTTAAACCTCTACACTACTTTATGAGTCCTTTTGGCTAGTTTGTTGCTGTTTACTCAGCTGAACATGTGAGACTGTGAAATTACGTGTTGAGGCTGCTGGTTGCATCAGTCCACCTATCAACTGAGACTCTTCAGTCTGTCAGCAATAATTCTGACAGATAATTCTGACTTTGTGATTGTGTTACTGTGTGCTGGCATGAACTGGTATACAATCCTGTATGATATCCTTGTATTATTTAATTTAGTTATTAATGAAATATTCTCCATAAATAACATCCACTAAAAAAGATTTATATATTTAGTTACATATTTGTTCAGTCTGTGACAGGTCAGGCTCTAATGACTGATAACTACTTTGCAGAGCACCACTTCAATAAATCTAACAGTTGTTTTATTGTAATGTTGTGAAATTTGATCTACATAATAATATTTAACTCAGAATATTTTTTGACTCTGATACTATGTCAGGTGAAAGTTCATTTTATTCAGTTCCTTGGTTCATGAGGATGAATTACTGACATTTCAATCAGCTGTGCTAACTCTCTGCTAATTAGCAAATGTCAGCATGGAAATTTCCTAAGTAGGACCGTGAACATGACATGCTATCAGAACCTGCTACATGTAGCATGCTGGCATTAGCATTCAGCTAGTTGAAGTGTGATCATCACAGCAGTACGTTGCAACATTTTAAAACATCCAGGCGCTAAGAACGGTACCTGCAATGTAGTTCTCTTAGTGGAGCTGTTTTGCTCTTGAGGAAAATGTCTTTGTAACAACTCTGTAAGTAGTTGCTTAGAGCACTGATGGGAAATGTTCTTATGTACAGGCTTATAAAATTACCGTATGAAGACATAATGCGTAATCTCTTCAACCGATTCCTATTTTCTACTTTGGTTCTGTGTTGGATTGTTTACTGTACTAGATACCACAAATTGTCCCCTGAAGATCTGAGCACATAGGCTCCTAATAGAAAAGATTGGCCCTAATTTCTGTTAAGTGTAAAAGCCCCTCAGAGGTTTATAAGCTGTGAGCAGCTGCACTGACAACTTCAGAGTCTCTTTCTGTGTCGTGCTGGTTTCTTTCAACAATACCTTTACCTATAATGGCAGGTGATCAATGCATTGTAAGATTTAGCTTAATCGTATATATGGGTACGGGTCAGGTATGTGGCAGCGGGAGGCTGGAATGGGGACACAGGTGTTTCGTAATGTAGGTCTACGCTCCGACAGTGATGAACCATGTGTGTGTGAGGACCTAAATGCCTCCGCTGGGTCCTGACAGCCCTATTGCTTACTGCAATTAGCACCACCATACACAATGCGCTGAATAGCAGTTTACAGTGGGAGGGGTGTTTTAAACGGGCGCACACACATTGGCTCAGATTTACCATTTCTAATCAATGAGGAGAGTTCTTGCTGCGCTCCCCAAAGGCCTATTAAAGGCCTCTAAGGTGTGCATATTATCCACATTCAGCATTCAGTTCAACACAATTTATTCTCCTCTGACTGACCTGAATTAATGTCGTTCAACGGAGGATCGGTCCCCGCATCCCTACACTCTTTGGTCCAGCCTTGTCTTGTAAGTAGGACATTAGAAATATTAGGAAAATGTTGTGCTGAAGGATATTGCTGATCATCGCCAACAATTAAGTGTAGGCAAAACATAAATGGAAAGTGTCATCCAAAGACTATTTTTTCCCTCAATACCTATATTTAAATCTGTAACACGACAGGATGATTTTATAGGTGTCTTAAAACCATCGCTTTACCATTAGCTTTTTGTAAATGTTTCTTACGCTTCTTTCAAACATTTCTATGTCTAAAAAGTAATCATTTGATGAACATATATTTAAATTTTGGATTCATTTAAGATATCTGCCACAGCTACCAGCAATAGACAATACAAAAAGCCCTATCAATCAGTTTAACAGACGTTGAGCTAAACTTTGATGCAGTGGTAGCTGGGAGTTATTCACGATGTGGCCGAGGTGGCTGTTTTGAATTTAAAATATAGTCATTAAAATTGATTGGTGATGAGCACTCCTTCAAGGAATGGAAGACCTTTTATTCACTAAATGTCTCAGTTTGATTCTCCTGAACAGCTGATCAGAAATCACAGATTCTGTGTGACAGTCTGTTAATGTGTTGGAGGCAGTTCAGACTTGCCGTGTTGAAAGTGATACATAGTGTTACAAGGTCCCATCTAGTCAGATTTCCATCTCAAAATGTTTCGGGCCAGTGGGATAATTCACGCGTGACACTGACACGTTCAGATGCTGTCAGATTATGGGAGGCAGTGCGAGTGTGAAAGAGGCTACAGACAAGGTTCCCCTTCAGTTTGATGCTTTGAGAGGCAGTGGGTGGACCACAGGAACAGTAGAGGAAAAACACTGATGCATATGTTAATGTGGCTTAATGACTTGTGGCCTGTGTTTACAGCCTTCTACTTTACTTGCTGGGTGGTGCGACACTGTCTCCTTTGCCGTAATTTACATACTCGGTCCAAGGCTCCACATGGGCAGTGCTTGTCGTTTTAGGACAACCGCAGAAGCTATTTGACTTTTTGGTGGAAAATTCCCTGGAATAATAAATTTCATCCTGTAGTTATCTTGTGAGCTCAGCAGGCTCAATCAGACGCAATCGAGTTTTTGAAAGTGGAGTTTCTCGAACAACCTCTCGGCTGCCTCAGCTGTTTCAGCCATTATTTCCTCATTTTGGGTTTTGTTTCATCAGGAAGTCATCTCTCCCTGCCTCACACCTGTGCAAACACTTGTTCCTCTGGCTTTACTTGTACATTTTACAGTTTATGCATCAGTTCCTCAAAACCTAGCACTCCAATGAAGCAAAATGAAAATGAACATCTGAGGTGAACTGTTTTTATCAGGAAAAAACTAGGTTCAAAGAAAAATTGTAAAATAAGATATTTAGAACATTACTTAAGTATTATTTGTATCAGCATTGCATTTTAAACAGTCTGCCTTTTATCTCACACAGCATTTGATATTTCTGTGAACCAACTTAAACCGAGTTGAAACTTTGCTCTTTAATGCTGTTTTCACTTGTTTCGGCTGTAATTTGCTGAAACACATAGTCTCAAGTACAAAGACTGTGTTACTGGCCAAATACTTATGGTCTGGACAGACTGCCTGCCTGCATGACTGCTGCTGTTTGCAAAACTATGACTCCTCACTGCGAGGAGACCCACTACAGTCTGTTACCATTACAAACCCCACGTTCAGATGCAGTAGCCAAATGAAAAAAAAAAAAGTGCAAAAATGGCAGATGACACCGCACAAGGTTTTCCAGCAGGGTTTTTTTTTTTTTCACACGTGAAATTGCCACACAACTTTAGCTTGTTTATATTATTAGTTTTTGGCTTCAGATGGAGACCACTCAGCATCATATTGAATATCACAATACAAACATGGCAAATGTAGTGAACATTTTACATGGATTCTTACACAGTAGATAAGTTCATGTCAGTTGAAATAATTTCATGCATTCTATTTTTTTTTGTGTAGTTGCACAGTAATCTGTAAAATGAGAATGACAGTTGTATTAAAGAATATAGTAAAGCCATTCGTTTTGACGGTAACAAGTAGTGAAAAGAAAATGAAAAGAAGTGATCAACAGTAAAAAAAAGACTGCGACAGTTGTCGTATTTTTAAAAATAATATTTATATTGATGATAATCACAGACAGAAAATTCCTAAAGTCTTAGCTTCCATCTAAAAACGACTCAAATCCGAGAAATCTCCTAGCAATTCATGGGAATACTCTTTAACCTTCCTACTGCCTTCAGTTTAGCATTACATTTATTCACATAGAATTTTATGTCTGTTTACAGCTGTGTGAAGTGAAACTGACAGAGATGTTGATGTTTACAAAATAGTTTTCTCTTATTTCTCACAAAATCCAGCTCTAAATGATTTGAACTTTCCTTTTCAGCTTTGAAATTGTCCTTTGGCCTTGAAAAGAACCATTTGAATTCATTCAGTAGATGGTAGTAGTGAATATCTGATTAAAATGCATTTTTTATGTTGCTCTTTTTTCTCCTTTTATTCAGTTTATGTTGCTACTTTTGTTTATATATATATATAAATTATTATCCAAGTATTTTAATCCTCTTTTCTAATCCTTTTGTCTTTGGACATGTCCCCTGCAGCTTGGGCAAAAAGACAACCCAGCTGTGGACCCAATCATCCAGGGATTGAAAGGAGTAGTGCATCATGGTAAGTAATCAAACAGCCATCCCATGCATAACTCTGTTTCATGTAAAAGATTTGTATTTATGTGACAAGTGCAGTCAAATAGACTTTAGAGAGTAGATAGATGGAGATTTTTTTTAAGTATTTTTTATATAAATATTTTTCCTCTTCATAGCCAAATCTCTTTATCACAAAGCTTTACTGTAGGAATTAAATTTGTGTGGGATTTTCCCAAAAAAAAAAAAAAAAAAAAAAAAACAATTGACCCTGGGTAAATCCCTTTGACATTGCTTTGTAGCTGGTGATGGCTGATCCTGAAGGTAAATTTCTCCATCAGTAAAGATGTCGTCATGCACCAAATACTGATGTTTTTAAATTCTACTGCTTAAACGCCGAGTGCCATATTTCTGTCTCCCAAATTAATATAAAAACCAAAACTACGAGCAGAGTGCAACTTCAAACAGAGAATAAATTTGCGGGTTACTGCCCGTCCCTTGGTAGTAGTATAGCTCTGCAGGAGGAGACCTCCGCAGAGTTTCTCTCCCAGACACAGAACTAATTATTACATCTGAACTTCAATTAGACAGCTCTCGGTTTCATGGACTGTGGCTTCTGCAAAACTTTATATCCACAACTATTGATGTTTTGTACTGCGAGCTATACCCCGAATCTTAATGCTTACTATTTTATAAAGTTAATATTGCTGTGCCACTGGATGCTTGTTTAAAAATCTGCTGCTGACAGACGTTTTCTTTGCATAAATGTACATCGACAAAGATACGATGAGAAATAAAGCCAGTATGCAATATCTCTGAACTCCAGAAGATTTTACAAAACCAGATGTGGATGTCACAGAGTTGATTCTAATTAAAATCCATAATGAGATGTTGTGCATAGGTAGTGAGGGTATGAAATTTTGGGTTGCGGAAGCATGTTTTCCACTTGGTGGTTTACAGCACCTGCCACYGATAAATGAAGGCAGATGATAATGTTGCGCTTGTTTTTGTCTGTTGGCAAAATTTTACACAAGTCACTGGGAAAACAATACCCTGAACATAAGATTGTGCAATCTTTAGTTTAGTTTAGTTTATTCATTTCATTCATTTCTTTAAAAACAACATAAATTCAACAACAAACAAAAAGTATAAACCACAATTGAAATGAAAGGCTGCAGAAGAAGAAAAATTCTTATTATATCTGCCCCTTTTTCTCAAATAAATAAATTCAATTAAAAATAATCTTCGGTTTACAAAAAAAAAAAAAGAGCCAGTGGACTGCTTGGCCTGTGGCACCTGAGTTTGACATTAATCTAACCATGGCCTTTTTCATAGGAGTGAAGTGGGGAAATCGATAGATGGACCACCTGTTCGCTCAAACGGCGTGATGAAAAATGAAACTGTGATTTTTTTTTCCTGCCTTCGAGGTACCATGGGGAGATCTTTTCCTATAATACATTAGGATGTCACCAAGGTTAGATTAATTATACATGGATTACAAATCCTACCTTGGACGGGTGGGTGTATGTTCGCACACCCAGCATGAGGCCATATGGATAAACGTTACTGTCAGCGTACAGTGAGAATGATAAAAGCTTCAGTGGCGCTGAAAGCTTGTTGTGTAACTAAAAGTTGGGTAAGAAACATAAGGAGAGCGTTGGCTGAGTCGAGTTGATCTCTTGATCTGCGCGGAGCCTAAGAGCTGAATCCACTGCGCTATAAGAAACTTGTACAAAGAAGAAAATAGACGTCAAATTTACAGTTTATTTAGAAACACTTACAGTACACATATTTATGAAGTAATATGGAGAGAGCAACCACGGCAACTTTTTTTTTTTCTACCAGCACAAACCTGTGCTAGCATTGGTTTTTAAAAAAGAGTAATAAATTTGCTTTTCTGTGATATGATCTAACATCTCTGCTTGTGTTTTTTTTTCCCTTGGTCCTGGATCAACATTCAGCTGTCTTGGGAAATCATGCCAAACCTGACTTTGTTTTTCATCTTTCTTGTTTAAATGAAACATGGGAATGAAGAGTGCATTTAAGCTTTTGTTTTCACTCTCACTTTGTGCTGAAAATGAAGGGGGAGGGGACAGTATAAAATAAACTTGGAGTCATTTCGAAGATGTGGACAGCAATTCCCTCTGCTTTGCAGACAGCTTAAAGATTCCTCAGACCACCTGCCTGTTCTTTTTTAAATCAACAACTTTATCTGTGGATGCTGTATCATCCCCCCCACCCCACAAGGAGACCGTCGTCATATCTCTGCAAACATACATTAAGAAAATGTGTAATCAAGTGGTTCAGGTTGCTTTATTGACTTCTATGAAAAGGGTGTAATTGAAAATCCCATTTTCCAATATGTGCTGTTAACAAGAACAGGTCACATGAGCTAATCTCGGTGAGTAAATGAAGCCTGGGTGGGGGGGTCCTTAATGGGGTAATGTAGTTAATAACATCTGAAGGGTGATGAATGGCCAGGCCTCTTTCTTGCCGAGTTCTCAGACAACAAATTAGTTCCATTAAAGGCCGCAGTATAAGGAACTCTGAAGGAAGCTGATTAACTTAAATTGTTTGGATTGAGTCGTTCTGAACTTGGTTTAGGCCCTGTGGTTTGCACAAATGGACTTATCCTTGATTACATGCTTATTTACCTATTTGTTTAGTTTCTGTTGTCAGCACAGCCAGGTGCGGCTTTTGTGGGCCTTGTGATTTGTCTTTAAAAATTAAAAAGGAGCAGTCTTAGATTAAATCAACATCCAGGACTTTCCAGGACTTTTTGTTATTATTATTATTATTATTATTATTATTATTATTNAAAATAATAAAAGTTTAAATCATTGAACAACTTTTCATACATGTGCATACTTCTCCAGCAAATTAATCTTTATCATTCTCTTAAACATGCATATTGATCTGGCATTTTTAATGTCATCTTTCATATTATTCCATAATCTTATACCCTGGACTGAAGTACTCCGTTCTTTTAAACTGGTTTTAACTTTAGGTCTTACAAACATTTCTATCCGCTTGAGATTATAACAACTCTTTCTTTTAAAAAAGTGTAATTGGATGTTTGAAGGTAATGTGTTTTTATGAGCCCTATACATAACTGATAAAATACTATAACTGATAAAATACTATAACCAACCAAATCATTAAATTTCAATAACTTCAACTGATAGAACAATGAATTTGATGGGTGATAGTAATGCTTTCTGGTGATAATTCTTACRTCTCTTTTCTGTAAAATAAAAATGGGATGTGTAATTTTTTACATGCTTTTCCCCAAACATCAATACAGTAGATAAAGAGTGGAACAATTATTGCATTATATAATATAAACAGAGCTTTATCATTAAATAAATCCTTTACTTTGTACAATAGTGCAATAGATTTTGTTATTTTTGTTCTTAAATTATTTATGAGGTCTCCTTGTCAGCTTCTCATCAATGACGACACCCAAAAACTTCACCTCACTCACTCTTCAGATCTCAATACCATCAACTCTAAATGGAACATCAACAGTTTTCTTTCTGTTACCGAATTTCATATACTGTACATCTCACAAGATTGTACAAAGATCGACCAAAACTGCTTCAATACCATAATTTTCAACAGAAAGTGATTTTAATTTAAAGGTCCAGCATGTAAACAGCAGACAAAATGTACCTACTGTATTAAGGAAGGCATGCTAGGCTTTTTATTTAATTTATTTGAAAAAAATGGAATATTAAAAATCTGCACTTATAAAACTGTATAACTGTCTTTGACCTGACCAAATAAGTAAAGGTTAAATTTGGGGTATTATGTATGTTCCAGGCTATTAGTTCAATCTTATACCAGAATCAAGTAACTGTGTTTTATTCAGTTGTTATTAAAATGCTGTATATATCAAAAATAAATTTGACTTTACATTGTAGCCTATCTTTAACACTCCGGTGTGTTTTGATGAAGTGATGACAACATGATATAATGCTTAAAAAAGTGGATTTTGCATAACACCCCTACCCTTTTTAAATAAATTTGTTTGCATAGATGCACCAATAAGAATCTATTCAAGTAAAACGATGCAGAGGAAACATCCCCCACCTGAGACCACTAACAACATGTGTTTTGGCCTCAAAATAAATAGGTTCTAAATTGAACTAATTGCACTGCAGAAAACTGACTGTTCTCCACTGAGTTCCTCATCAGGTGGGAGACCATTCCACTTGCAGTTTTATCTCACTGAGCGCCGTTTTTATTGTGTAATATAACTTTAATAAAGACAAATTATCCAGCTTGTCTGCTGCACTAGATTATTTCATGAATCTTTATCAGTTTCAAAGGAGTGGATTGTCCCTACTTTCAAAGCACTTTTCTGCTATATTGACACTTAAAGCAATTGTGTTTCTCTTTCACACATTCACACGCGTAATGGAAACAATAGCATCATATCTGCCTGGTAAGGAGCTTTATTGTCATTAGTGGAATCTTTGGGTTTTCTATCTTGCCAAGAGATATTCTACTGTGTGAAGGGGTTGCGGACTGAACCGTGAGCCCTACAGCTGATGTACAACCTGTTCTGGCTGCTGATTCACAGCCTCCACGGCGGCGCTCTGTGCTGCACAGATACACAGATGTTTGTTCTAGCACCACCGAATCCCATTTCCCAGCTGAAAGAAAGCTTGGCATGGACGTGGTGCTTTTTGGACTCTCTTCCTGCTAGCTGCTAAATGCTCCTCGCCTTCCCCCCCGTTAGGATGGTTGGTTTTCCACTAGCTCGTTATCCCACAGTCATCCATCCATCAGCATCTCGGCGGCCCAGCAGCGATAGGGCACGTACGCTGTCTGAAGACAGGGAGAAGAAAGGCTGTGCATACTGAATTTGACTCAGACTGCATATGAGGCACAGGGGCGAGGCTTCCTGTGCCTCTGTAGTCTGAATGCAAACCACACCCTAGACCTCTGTTTCTTTTAAGATAAGGCCACGAGCTGAGAGATTGGATCTGACGTAAACTCTGCTTTATTTAGGCTCTTCTCATCATAATTCAAGGAAAAACAAACAAACTTTCATAGCCCGCACCATATTTACTGGAGATAAGGGCATCTTCCTCTGGATGATTTCAGCTTGTCCCCCCTCCCCCCACTACAAAGCATTGCCAGGTCCTGATCAGAGGATAGGAGAGATCTGGTAATCATTTGGATCTGTCTTAATCCCCGTAGCCTAGCCACAGTTGTTACATGGAGCAGAGCACCCTACCACCCAGCCACAGATCAGCTGTCAGAGCTGGCCATCTTATCAGACTCTCCTGCTTTTGCTCCTCTTTCAGCCCATCTCCGTACAGAGATGTAGCCAGGGCGATAACAAGTAGTGAGGCTTTTAACTACTGCCCTTCCACTAGAGGAGGTTTTGGGGAAGCAGTAAAAATGCCACAAGTGAGGAGGTGATATGGGGTGGATGCACACAGCGCCGCGCTGTACAAATCCATGCGCTGACAAATTTTAATCCCGTTCTTTACCCAGAAAAGGAGACCAACCTCAGGTCGTTCGTCTTGAGGGATCTGCTGCCGTCATCGGTGGACAGTTATTACCGATACACRGGCTCTTTGACCACTCCGCCCTGCAGCAAAGTCGTGGAGTGGATCATCTTCTCCAGGCCGGTATATCTGTCCCACTCACAGGTGCGTTAAGTCCAGTTACACTCACACACACACACACACACACACACACATACACATTCACTTTCACTCACGCAAGCCTAGACAGATATTCTCCAGATCCCATTTGTGCACACTCAGTGGATCACTTGCAGTCCAACACTGTGACCAATTTCCCCTCGTGCTTCTCCTTTTTTTTCCCCCACCTTCCCATCCAGATCCTTTGCATATAAAGCCATCACTGCCAATGCAGTGCATGATTAAACAGGAAGGGGGAGCCAATTACTGGCGTTTGAGTGATAGTAGGTGTCAGATAGCACCTATATCATGCCGTGGTTCTGAAACAATGCCTATAGGCTCTAAGAAATAATACCGCGCCATATTGGGGTTGGATATCATACAACTAAAGACGTTCATCAGTTTAAATGCTTAATATTTCGAGCTATTAGAGCAACAGCTTAACATATGTTTTGTGAAAAATGTTGCATTTTACAGCACTCGCCTGCGTGCTTTACAGCGTTTTACCTCCAACTGTTATTGCTGTTTGAGAGATAATATATGCCAAATCATGCCCCATGCTTTTTGCTGATCTCCCCCACCCCCTTCCCCTCCACAGATGCTTTGCTGCATCTTTTATACATACAATTCTTGGGTTAGCCAGCTGCATATTCTCCTGTGCATTCTGCGCCACAGAAATTTGCAGGGCTCAGTGGAATTTCTATGAACTTGCATGAGGACAAATCTTTTGTTCCCAAATGACTTCTGCCGCAAGGTTATTGACCACCTCGACAATGTTTGTGACRCTCACAGATAGTCTTTTATGAACCTGTAATTCATTTCTCCAAGCACCCATAGGACACATTGATTCCACAGTATCTGTAATGTGTAGTCATTACAGCACGCGGCAGGAGATCATTCTTGGCAATCAATGGCCACAAATTTGCCCCATTGAGAAGTTACAGCCCAGCAGGTAGTCAGGGTGATGATTGAAGTCTGTGCCTGCTGAAGCCTGTGGTGTAAATGTTTCTTGCAAATACTGTTCCTCACTTGTGAACAGTCAGCTACTGGCAAGTGGCTAAGAATGCGGTGCTGCATGATATATTACCTTTAACACATTTACTCACACACCCAGACATAGTAGCAGCAACACTTAAATGTGATCCTGATAGCTATTCTGTGTTTCTTACCATCCAGCTGGATGCTTTTTACTCCATCTTTACAACGGAGCAACAGGACCATGTCAAGTCTGTCGAGTACCTGAGGAACAACTTCAGACCCCTGCAGGACCTGAACAATAGGAAGATCTTTAAGTCAGCTGTTAAAGATGCCTGGCAGAAAGATTTGACTGAAATATTAGGAAGCCCTCACAGCACAGAGGCATCGAGAGGTAAGATGTGTTTTGCTTCCTTGTGTGTTTGATGTTGTATTGTCTTGWATTGTCCAGAACTAATGTAACAGTTCACGTCAGTACAACAGAATCAACTTATACCTTTAAAAGTGTTATTTTTGCTCGTCAGGTCAGCATTTTYATCATTGCACCTAAGGAAATTTAATCAAATTATATATTTTAAACAGGCTGCAGAACAAAGAGGCTAAAGATTATATTTAATATTAATCTTCTACACATTTTCTTGCGTGTGTAGGTTAGTGTTTAAGTTGGGTCCTTTTTTAATGCTTCAGTGTTTTATAGTTTTGAGTATTTGCCAAAAAATAAAATGATTAAACAAAACAACTTTRAAATTGAGAAAAAGTCATTGTTACTTAAAGCATATTTAAATTTCCCTATAGTTTGTTTCTATTAGGAATTTTTAGCTGAGCCTTTTTCTATTTTTTTTCTATTATGAAATGTTGTTAATTTTATATTTACTATTGCAACATTTTATTAGGTAGCTTTAAACTTCATTAGCTACTTGAAAACACAGCTAACGGACTTAAAGTTAGTGTCACATATAGAACTTTATGTACTTAATTTTATTAAAGATGTCAGAAAATTTTTATATTTTGTGGCAGTTGGTAATTTAGCCAGCTAATACTGAAGAAAATGTTTTTACTTTTTTCTTTTATTTCAGTTAGTTTTAATTAGTTTTTAGAGTCGATTTGCTAGTTTTTATTAGTTGTTATTACTTTTTAATGCTTAGTTTTAGTTTAGTTTAGTTTAGTTTAGTTTTCATTAGTTCTAGTATTAGTATTTTTTATAGTTTCACATTACGGGCCATGAGGTGCTGTAAGATGCTCGCAGCTAGGTTTGAAGAAAAAAGATTTATTTATTCAGTCCACCTGGCTCAAAATAAATTGACAAACACTAAAACTAAGGATATTCTATCTATAATCTCAGTTAGTTTCAGTTAGTTTTGTAAAAAGATTATACAGTTTCAGTTAGTTATCAGTTTTTTAATTGTATTACAGTTTTTATTTATTTCAGTTAACTAAAATGTTTTTTTTTTCAATTTCAGTTTTCGTTATTTAGTTGGTTTTAGTTAACTATAATAACCCTGGTTCAGACCTCATATGCAGCTGATCAGAGTATTATTTCTTTCCTTTTTTTCTTTTGTTTATCTTTTGCTTTTTTGTGTGCATCTTGCTGCGCTTGCTTTAACAGAAAGTGCAAGAACTAAGGAGACTAATGAGAAAGGCTGCTGCTCCTTAAATTAGTGTTGTTGGTGTCTGGTGGGGAGAATTGATTGGGAATGCTTGTGATGAAGTTGGAGCACTCTAAAAGGGCTGATCAGCAATCATCATTAATATGTGGCACAGCTAAAATAGATCCATACAAATTAAGTTGTGAAATTGCTTTTGTGGTGTTATGTCACCAGGCAGGATGAATGTGAACCGGTACATCTTCACTTTTGCTTCTCCTCCTTTTTTTTCCCCTTTTTTTGTTTTATTTAGTTCTTCTTCTTCCGTCCCGGCAGCCTTTTGGTTCAAACGTAGGACTCTGTTGAAGACTTGTTTTTCTTAACGAATGACATAAATGATGGATTTAATTTCAAGTGGCTCAAGATCTGCGACTAATATTTGACCGAACRTTTATTTACTGTAGATTAAATGGTCGAGGACTAAGTTTGACCGAACGAGATGCAGAGCAAACTGTTCTGATGCAAAATAAAGATTGCAGATTAGTTTGTGTGGTGCAGATTTATTGTTTGTCCAATACGAATTTCAAGATCCATAAGGCACCGTTTATTTTATCATTTGTGTTTGCTGTGTACCGAGTGTAAAATCCAGCTCAATCAGAGCCACTGTCTCACGCGCAGAGCAGATTTATTGTTCTCTCTGTTTACAAACTAGTTCACTCTGTCACAGCAAATATTACATGCTTTTCTTTCTAATTTAGCTTACTCTGGCATCTTTTAGTATTTTGACATTTACCAGGCAATCAGCTGATGGAAAAAAATGAACCCAAAACACGGTTTTCTACAGTTAAAAGTTATACAGCTCGGTTACATGAGCTGATTAATAATCTATAAAAAATGTGTTCAAACGTAAAATGGAGAGGAGTAACAAAATCCTCATGTTAAGGCTTTTAAATGGAAAAAAAAAGGTTGGCATTTTGCTTTTAGAAATGACTCAAACAGGCAAGAGTTGCATTATCATAAAATAAATGTTGTAGTGACTGTGTCGGTGTTTATCTCTTAGATGACTTTGCTGCAGAGTTTAAAAAAACTGCTTGTGTGTGTGTGTTTAAATCAGATATATTTATTTTTTTGTTTTCATTTTGCAGAGAAATTCTTGTTTCCCCACATCATTCTGACGTGTCTGCCGCTTTAAAACAAACCGTACAGCTTTTTAGAAGCGAGACGCAGTCGAGCGGCTTTGTTGACAACAGTCACTTCATCCCCTTCATTGTASAAGCTGCCAAGAGGAAGATTCATGCTCTGCTCTGAGTGCTATTGCTGGATAAGATGGAAGCTCTCGGAGGGTTATTTTTGGGAGGTTAGAGTATGCATTGTGTAAATTCAGAGTCTTGCGTCATTTGCATTTTTATAATTTAGATGCTAATAAACTACTACATATATCTGCTTMGTTATATTCCCTGCCTGATGCTGTTCATTTGCCTTTTTTCTGCAACAAATCTGCAACAATTTGAGGAGTTGAAAATGATGTSGGTAGATTACTGGAGTTTTAAGATATTCAAAATATTTCTCAGGCCCATGATTTGCAAAATTAAATTTAAAAATGCAAAGCAGGAGCTGATAAGATGGTATCTAGAGGGTTATTAATATGCTCGTGTTAATTGTGAAAAGGAAGGTGATTGTCAGGACAGGAGCGATGCAGGCACTAAAACCACAGTGACATCTTCAGCTGCTATTAAATTATTGTTCTTGAGCTACTGAACCTGACAACGAACAGCCGACAGGTTATGATGCATTTCGCACCTGTCACACCTAATCAACACCCTGAGATTTCCTTCCTGTTGTTTTTTTTCCCCCTGTGATCCTTTGACTGATTCCCTTCCTCCCTGTCTTTCTTCCCATCTCTCACATGTCATGGTGCATAATTCGCGTCCCGGCCTCACCGTGCAAATGGGGAAAATTGTGGTGACAATTTCAGTTTGGCAGAAACTGTAAGAGCACATAGTCATTTGACACTAGTTTCTGATTGCTACTGCCCTGATGTGCTGAGGGGCCTGTCCAGATTGTCCCTTCCTCATACTGATGAATCTTTGTGGAAATTTCCAAGCAGCAGCCTGCACTGCCACCTTCAGGCTGTGTATATATAAACTGTATATATACTGTATATATAT